GGGGGGTGGGAGGGTAGTGGGGGAGGCAGCTGTAATGAAAACAAGATTGAGAAATCCTGTTCTCTACCGGTTCCATGGGTTCCAGGAATGATCTACACCCAGACTCCTTCCTCTAGACCAGGAATAAATATCCACATACCCCCTCACTGCCCGTTTAAGACAATATCTTTCACTAAGCAAATCGTTCAGACTTGGAACAAGGGAAATTTTCTGCGAGGGACCCCAAAATTCCAAGTGGCATATTTGCAGATGAGAAAGTAGGGGCTAGGATTATGCAGGGGTCAGGAGCCAGTTTCCAAGGCCAAGCCCAGTTCTTGCAGCAGAAATGCAGCTCATGGATTGAAAATGCCCTCTTTCCTTTTCTACGATCAGCGCTCACATTCCAAGACAGAACATGGGCCCCGTGCAGCCCCAGAGGCGCGGCCCAATTCCAAGTGTCCAGAATTTCAGGGTGGAGGCGGCCGAGTTTCCACCCGAGAGGCCTTCTGCGTGGAGGGCCCTTGGGACAGCATGGGTCCCTGCCCCTCGGGCCAGCCTGCTCACACTTTCCATATTTAAAATATGGGTTTGGAATGCCTCCCTGGACTTGGAAGTAACTGATAAACCAGCCATTCTGAGATGATGAAAACAAATCTCCAACCCTTCGCCTTTTCTTGATCTCTATGGGAGAGGGTGGAAGGTGAATGGAGACTGGCCTTCAGTGTGTTCTCTTAAATGGACAATCGGGAAAAGCCACTCTCTGGGGTTTAATAATAAAGTTAAACAATGGTGGGGGGGCAGGGAGTGGAAGGAGACCCCCTTGTTCCTTTACTTCCCCCCCACGAAGCTTCATGTAACCATGGCAACCAGGGCTCTGCAGAGATGCCCCAAGGCCCAGGATTCTCAAGGCTGCGCTTTTATGTGTAAAACTGTGGCTTTGTGTTTTGTTAAACTCAGATGCTTTCCTAGGTTTTCCACTTTGTCCCTGTAAAAGGGACACAAGTATTAGATATAATTGTGCTAGCGCCTCAGCTCGCAGGCAGCCTGATTGGAGTGACAAAGGGTTCTCTGGTGACAGTGGAGTGTGTGTGAGTGTGTGTGTGTGTGTGTGCACCTGTGTCTGTGTTGGAGTGAGAGACTTCTCTTAAGAGTGTCGTGATTAGATCAATGAGTGAATAAAACTATCCTAAAAAAGTGAAAGAAAAAAAAAAAGTGTCAGGTTTTGGGTTTAGATAAGGAGGGAGGGAAGGTGGGTTGAGCAAATCCTTTCTGGAAGGGTGGGTGGATGGCTAGGTGGGCCTCCTTGCCCCTGGGGGAAGTCAAATAAAAAGAAATGGGAGGGAGGTAGAACTGTGACTGAGTGAAGTGGCATTTCCTGGCCTGGGGCCTTGGGAAGGAACGCTGTGGAATTTGTTTAGAAAGCTTTCAAACTAGGTGGTTATCTGTTGTTGCTCTTTTTCTTTTCTTTATTTTTATTTTTTACTATTCTAGTTCGTTGCTCTCATTTTTTTCAAAATTATAAGCATGCTTTTGTGGCTATTTCAAAAGCAATGTTCCCAAGAGCCAATGTCCTGAAATTCTAGAATATAGGATGTGACTGCAAGAAAGGTGATGCCTGGTCAATAAGCAGGGCCCCTGGGCCTTCATTTCCAGAGCAAGGAGTTCTTACAGGTCAGGGACAGAAGGCGCCCACCGCCTGACACCTGTATGTTCTCCCTTTACAATTTCTGGCTCGTTTCTTTCCTTTTGGAGGAGAGAGGTGGTGGTTTTGAAGTAGAGGAATTGCACTTCTGAGTTGAGTATTGACTTCCAGCGGTTTGACCCAAACTGAACAATTTAGGGCATCCCAGACCTTATTTTTCCTTCCCAAAGCACGCCAATGGCAACCACAGCAAACGGGGCTATTTTAGGCTTGCCGTATGCATGGCATTTTCTGCTCCTGTGGGGTTTTTTTGGGGGGGCGGGGGCTACATGACTCAGTTTTCTTAGTAAATTGTGTAGGACCTGCCTTTCCTGAGACAGGAAGGGACAGCGCGTCCTTGACGTGGAATGCGGGTGTCAATTCCTGCAAAGCACCCTGGCCTGTTCCCCCAGCTGAAGACTCCTTCAGCCCGGTCCCCGCCAGAAGCAGATGGGGAAGCTCCTGGGGCCAGCCTAAGGGAGCAGCAGCAGATTTAGGGGATGGGCCTGATAGAGAAGTGTCCTGGGCTGGTCTTTGTGGTCTGTGTTTGTCCTCCTTCTGCATTTTTGTCTCTGTATGTCAGAGGGACCTGGCAACATTCTTTAACCACTTTTCACAGTGTTCTCATTTTTAACCCCTGAACCCGTTTTCACAAAGATGTCCTGTGACCTGCCCTCCTGCGTAAACCTCCCCTGTATACTTGGGTGTCTGCCCTTCTGGCCTGTCCACCCACACATAGGGGCCTTCTGTGGTTTTCTTCTTGCTTTTCTTACAGACTTTCTGTGTCATCTACCCTTTCTAGGGGGACCTACCTCTTCTCTATAACCTTCTGTGGCTCCCATTACTCCATAGCAGTACTATGCCCTAGAACGAGGAAATGGGCCACATAGGTAATTTTAAATTGTTTAGTAGCCACATTTTTAAAAGTTTAAAAGAAACGGGTGAAATGAATTCTTACAATGTATTATACTTAGCTCCATATATCTAAAATAGTATCATTTCAACATAAAGTTCTTGAAATCCAGGGTGTATTTTTACATCGACATATCCCAAATTGGACGGTAAAAATTTTATAAATGCATTTCACCTTGATTCAGAGTTTATTAAATTTGCTGTTGCAAAAGTAGATTCATGTACCTGAAGTGTCGCAGACTTACATAAAAGTTTTCCAGTAAACGAATTTCATATTCAATTTTAAATTTAAATGGCTTAAACTTAAATACAATTTTAAAATTGAGTTCCTCAGTCACACCAGCCACATTTCAGGTGTTCAAGAGCCTTGTGAGGCAGTGGAGACCCTATTAGACAGCCCAAATAGAGAACATTCCATCCCTCCAGAAAGTTCCATCGGATAGCACAGTCTTATAAAGTCAAAGCAACCCGAAAGGACTTTGAAAATTTTCTGGAACCTGGGCCCAGACTGTGTAGCTTTATTATTGACTTTGTTTTGCACACGTTCACTCTCCCATCCCTCTTTCCACTTGGAAATACGTGCTCTTTCTTCCCTTCCCCCAGAGAAGTCTCTTTTTTCATGCTCGGCTTAATGGCAGCACTTCCTTGAAGGATTCTCCCCTTCTCGCTGCAGTAGAATTAATTGCTGCCTCTGCTTCCCACGGGTTCTAGAAGACGAAGCAGAATGCATGGGAAGGGGCCCCAGGCCCGTTGGAGCCCCCAGACCATGGCCTGCTGCCCTGGGAGCTCATATCCCCATTTCTCCTGAGACAGGTTTGAATGGATCTTCTAACAGGGCAGCCTTGGCCCTGCCCCATTGGAAAACAGAGCCACACAAAGGCCGGCACTGTGTCCTGCTCCGCCGGCTGCCCCGGGGCTGTGAGCATGGGCCTTTAGACAGGAACACACCCTGGGTACGGGCCATGTAATTCTAGGCGAGCATTTGCTCCACGAGAAAAAAAAATCCTTTCTTTGCCCTCACAAAAGGAAATATGCCCCTGGCTGCTCTGAAACTCATTTTTCAAAATGGGAACTGGGTGTGTGTGTGTGTTTACTTTTTTAAAAACTATAACATGCATACAGAAAAGTGCACTAAATTGTACAACTCGAATTTTCACAAAGTTAACATACCATGTTACCAGCTCCCCGATGAAGAAAGAGAACATGACCGCCACCCCCTCCCCCTGAAAAGGCCTCCCTCCTGCCCCTTCCGGACTCTTCGCCTCCCCAGAATGACCACTTTCCTGACTTCTAGCCTCATGATTCATTTTTCCCATTTCTGAACTTCATGTGCACGGCATCACACTGTGTGCGTTCTTGGCGTCTGGCTTTTGCTCAGCGCTCTGTCCGCAGTAGCTTGTGATTGGTTTCGAATGCCTTTGTCTTTTCTGGCACCTCAAGCTTTATTTGTAAAAACCACAGCAGTTCAAAAAAAAACATTAGATGTGAAAGATAGGTTGTTGTTGGGTGGTGGTTTGAAGTGTGAAGAAACTTCTGCTCAAGTTCCATTGACGTTTGCTTTTGGGATTTTCTAGGTTTGGGTGATTTTTGGTTGTCATTGTTTACCTTTTATCTTTATTTAGGGAATCCTTGTTAGTGATAATTCTTGGGTCTTGAAGGGATGTGAACTCCCTTTCTGGCTTTTGGACAAGGCTGGACACGAGTCATTTCCTCGGATTTTCTTTTTGTCAGGTAGAAAATTAAAGATGAGGGTGGAGAAGAGAGAGAGAGATGTCAATTGAATTACTGATTTGGTATCTTCTGGTTTTGCTTTAGGTGAAATGTCTGCTCCAGGACTGTACCAGGCGGCCGCTGGGCCTTCGTCGGTGCCCACTGCGCCCCCATCCTATGAAGAGACGGTGGCCATTAACAGTTACTTCCCCACGCCTCCTGCACCCATGCCTGGGCCAACCACGGGGCTTGTGACCGGCCCTGATGGGAAGGGCATGAACCCTCCTGCGTACTACACCCAGCCAGTGCCTGTCCCCAACGCCAATGCAAGTACGTGTGGCCTCTTGGTCTTCCCAGTCCCCCTTATCTAAGCCTTTGCCTTGGGGGCTCCTTGAGAATCAGCAGAGCCACCCAGGTGCCCCTGAGTCTAAGCAAAGTGCCAGTCAGTCCAATTTTCATTTGTATAAAATGTTACATACAGTCCTTTAGGTTCTGCACCAGTGAGGCTCATGGCTTTTCCATAGTAGAGTACAGTTTATGAGCTGTCTCAAGTCCGCCGTAAACCGACCCTTTGGCACTTATACAGAGGCACAGCCCACTGTGCCAGAGAAATGGGGTAATGACGCTTAGCTTCTAAGGGCTCCACCCTTGCTGCTCAGGTCTGATAGAAGCTCTGGGCCCTAAGATTGGGCTGGAGTAGGAGAGGGAGGAGAAAGAGCCATGAGTGGGGAATGGGTGAGCCGAAACCTGCCCAGCCCACCAGCACACCATTTGCAAAGCTTGCTCCCCCGCCTTCCAGCAACTTTTTTTTTTTTTTTTTTTACATCTAATAAGGGTTTAATATCCAAAATGTATAAAGAAATCATACAACTCAACACCAAAAAGACAATCCAATTAAGAAATGAGCAGACGACCTGAATAGACAGTTCTCCAAAGAGGACATACCGATGGCCAAAAAGACATATGAAAATATGCTCAGTGTCACTAATTGTCACAGAAACACAAATTAAAACCACAATGAAATATCACCTCACACCTTTCAGAATGGGGAGGGCCTTTCTTTTAAAGCTTGTTCTCTAATCCATTGCTTCCCACACTTCTTCCAAAGAAAGCATACGTGAAAAAGCGTACCATGTGTCGTGCACGGTGGGCCAAATGGCCGAGGCTGTTGGCTGCTACAGCCGGCCAGCGTGGGGCTCCAGCCCCATCATTGCCCGCAGCAATAAACCCTGGGGCCATCAGTGTCTTGGCACACCGACATTCATCTGTGTGGCACAGTGAAGACACCAGTGTGGACACAGACACGTGGCACTGGACACAGGTGGCTGCCGCTGGAACCATGGCCTCCATGCCTCGGAAACTGGGTGTCGCTGTGTCCACCGCTGTTGCCGTCTCGATGTGTACCGTGCATGGCTCATTTCACAGAACAGGCAGAGTAATTCGGTATATTGCTTCCAATGAGTAGCCTCCAAGTCTGGCTCTCCAGGCCCTCCAGGAAAGTACAGCATCTTTTTATTTAATGTTCGCAATTCATTCACATTGTTCTGAATTCAGAGAACACAGGTGTGCAAGAAGTTTCACTCCCTTTCCCGTTGCACCTCATTGACCCTCACAACTTTCAGGTCACCACTCTTTAAGTTTCTGTATCCTCCCACCATGTCTTTTTGCAGACATAATGAATACAAATAAATACTTACCACTTCCTTTTCTTACCAGAAACGGTAGCGTGCTACATACATGCTGTGTGTGTGTATGTGCCTTCTTTTGCACCTTTTTTTCTCACCAAAATATTCACGTGAGTACGTAGACAGCTCTCATCCTCTTTTGCAGTGGCACAGATTTCCACTGTGTGGATGCACCACAGTTTATTTAACCAACCAGTATCTATTAATGTTTACTTGGCTTATTCCCAGGCTTTTGCTTGTAAACAGCACTGCGTATGTCATTTCTTAGGTATGTAGAAATGCTTAGAAGAAATTCCCAGAAATAGGATCTCTGGGTCCAAGGAGAAGCACATTTATAATTTTGGTAAATATTGCCAAATTGCCCTCCACGAAGGTTGGTCGTTTTGCACCCCTGCCAGCAGTGTCCGAGAGTTTCTGTTTCTACAGAGCCTTTGCCAACAGAGTATATTGTCCAACTCTTGAAGTTTTGCCAATCTGATCAGTAAACAGTTGTATGTTGGTACAGTTTTAAATTTCATCTGTTATAGTGAGGGAGGCTGAACATCTTTTCATTTGTTTAAGCCCATCCGCATTTCCTCATAATAGCTCCCCTTCCTGCTGGAACTAGCTACAGCTGGTTCCTGTGGCTGCGCACCGTGACTCTGTTTGAACCCCTTTCTCCCAGAAGCCAGCATGTTAATTCGAGCACTTCTTTTAATATCGGTCCTTGAAGGACCAAAATGGAAGAGCTGGATCTTGCCCCAAGTATCCATCCTTCTCGAGATGAAGGAAACCGAGTCAGAGGTGACGGGAGGTGGGCTCCGTCTCCAGCGTGGGCTCCAGCTCCCCAGACTTTATCGGGCTTTGCTGTTAAATGCTTGCGTTGAGAACAAGCGGCATGGAGGCCTGTAGACCATGGCTCAGTGACTTCAGAACATCCACAGGTGTGACCGTCCTGTAGCTTCTTCCTTTTCGCTTCTCCTGTCTTCCCTTCATTCTTTCTTCCTTCTTTTGTATCCCATGCCGTAGGGTAGAAGTCTGACAGGTCTCCCGAGGCTGAGGTCAAGGCCTCGGCAGGGCTGCCTGCCTTTCTTTAGGCTCTAGGGGAGAATCTGCTTCTTGCCTTCCCCAGCTTCTTGGCCCATGGCTCCCGTCCTCTTCTGTCAAGCCACACCAGCAGTCCAAGCCCCTCTCCCGTATCACGCCACTCCCCCAGCAACTTCATGGCCTTGCCCTTGGGGACCTCCTGCCGCCCAGGTACACAGCTGATTCAGCATCGCGAGCGGCTCAGGGAAATCACCGGGTCAGAGAGTGGTCCCGTGAATCTGGGTTCACCTGACCCCCTGTGCCTCAGTTTTCCCATCTGTAAGTTAGGGCTCGTCAGGTACCTACATCAGAGAGTTCTTAAAATGAAATAAAATTTTATGTGTAATCATTTGATTGAAGTGCTCGAGTAACTTTGACCCCTTGAGAAGGGAGAGGACAAGAATACTTTGTCTATTTTAGATCACTCTGCTCAATAAATAACTCATTCTTGCACACAAAAAATGGTCAGTAAAAAGTACACCTAAGTGCTAAAGTATGCTTCAATGCTGCTTTTCTGGGAGGAGCATCTTTGTAGGCCTCTCTAGGAGTGTTAGGCTCACTTAGCCCTGGGCGATCGTTAATTTCCCCTAATGGGGAGATTACAGCAGTGACATTCCAAAGGAGCAGAAGGAAGTCACTTTGACAGAAATACGAGCTTCAACAACTTTGCCAAATACCAACGAGAACATGTAAAACTCTAAGGGCTTTGGGACTGACAGGACTCTAGATTCTCTTGTGATGGTTGTGAATGTCTGTACATGTCTGCCACATAGTTTCCTCTTTTTAGCATGATTTCCGATGCTCTTTGCACATGCCAGCACGCTTCCCCGACTTGTCATGAAGAACTGCATTAGGGTCCCTGCTCGCTGAACTCCAGCCTTTTCACTGGGCTTTGGAGTTGATAAAGGAGCCTGCTTTAGTGAAAAGAGGGAATTGTTTTATCGAGCAGCCACTCTGTCCCAGGCACGGTGTGAGGTTCTTTCTTTACCAGCCTTATCTTATTTAATCCTAACAACAACTCTGTTACATCCATTTTTTTAAATAACAGCTTTGTTGAAATATAATTCCCAGACCAGAAAGTTCAGTCTTTTCGAGTGTACAATTCAATGGTTCTAGTTTGTTCACAGAGCTGTTCAACCGTCACTAATTCCAGAACATTTCCATCACCCCGGAAAGAAATCCTGTACCCACTAGCAGCCATCCCGTCCCACTCCCCCAGCCCCCGGGCAAAAACCCACCACATCACGGTCTCTGAAATTATCAGCTGCAGAACCACCTTCATAGAACCACTCAGGGAACTTAAAATAGTTTGGGGGCCCTGCCCCAGACCTGCTGAATCAGACTGTGTTGGGGGCAGGGCCTTGGAATCTGCATTCTCGGTAAGCTCCCCGCACGATTCCATGGACAGTTGAGTTTGAGAGCCTGGCCCAGCTGAGCCAAGTCCCTCCTCCAGGGACACAGTCCTTTTCCCATCTCGCCTGTGGAGGTTCTGAGAGCCCCTCCAATGATAATTCTAGAACCCTGCCGCTATTTCCTCTTTTTCCCTTTGTGTCACCCCCTCCCCCCAGTTTTTAAATATTAGATTTGGTTTTTATTGTAGAGCATACATATCAGGGCAAAGTGCCGCACGCTCAACTACAAATCATTTTGAGGGGAAAAACGCTGTAAAAAAAAAATAATAAAACCGCAACTGCTTTAGTTGTTCAGCCCCAGCTTGAGGAATCCACGCTGGTGGTTCTGGCCCCACAGGGGCTTCTTGATGGTGGCCTCCCGGATGTCTGCAGCCATTTTAAAAATTGTGGTAAAATATACAAGATAAAATATATCATCTTAAGCATTTCCCAGTATAAGCTCAGCTTTATTAAGTACATTCACATCCTCACGCAACCACCACCACCACCCATCTCCAGAACTCTTTCATCTTGCAAAACTGAAATTCTGTCTCCATTAAACAACCCTCCCTCCCCCCGCCCCCAGCCCCTGACAACCACCATCTACTTTCTGTCTCCATGAATTTGACTACTCTAGCGATGTCNTTCTGATGAAAAACTCTTTAGTTCATTAGTATTTCATTTATAAAACAAGGTTAAACCCCTACTTTTTTTTTTTTTTAACATATCTTTACTGATTTCAGAGAGAGGAAAGGAGAGGGAGAGATAGAAACATCAATGATGAGAGAGTCATTGGTCAGGCCCGCAACCCGGGCACGTGCCCTGACCGGGAATCGAACCCCGATCGCCTGGATCCTAGGTCGATGCTCAACCGCTGAGCCACGCCCGGCCGGGCTAGCGATGTCTTTTTGCGACTGTCTTCTTTGCCTCCGCGTAACGTCCTCAGGGTTCACCCATGTCGCTGCATGTGTCAGAACCGCATCGCTCTTTAAGGCTGAGTAACGTTCCATTGTACGGGTGGCCCGCACTGTGCTTGTTTGTTCATCCGTCGATGGACATCTGGCTCTTGTGAACAGCGCTGCTGTGAACATGGGTGTGCAAGTCTCTGCCAAGACCCTGCCTCCACCTTTTCGTCATCTAACAAATGTCTTCCTGGTTTACTAATCAGGCTCTGCCCTTTTTCCGTCCATCAGTTGCTGTGCAGACGGTCTACGTGCAGCAGCCAGTCTCCTTTTTCGACCGCCCGGTCCAGATGTGTTGCCCTTCCTGCAACAAGATGATTGTGACCCAGCTGTCCTATAACGCCGGCGCCCTCACCTGGCTCTCCTGTGGGAGCCTGTGCCTGCTCGGGTAAGTCTGGGGTCCACTCGCACCCCCAGGCTCTCCCACATTCCTCTCGCAGTATTTCTCAACTGTAGCACGTGCTTCTGTCTTGCGGGTGCCGCCCTGTGCACGTCGGATGTTCAGCAGCATCCCTGGCTCTACCCACTATACGCCAGGAGCGCCTCCCCCCATCGTAATAACTGGATATTGCCTCCTGCTGAGGACCGTGCTCCTGAGCATATCAACGCCTGGAAGTTGCTGTCCCATCATGTCTTCTTTTTTTCAGTCCTCACCCGAGGATATTTTTCCATTGATTTTCAGAGAGAGTGGAAGGGAGGAAGGGAGGGATCGGAGAGAAACATCGATGTGAGAGAGACACATGGGTTGGTTGCCTCCCACATGAGCCCCTACCGGTCCCAGGATCAAACCTGCAGCCCAGGTATGGGTCTTTCATAGGAATCGAACCCAAGACCCTTTGGAGCGAGGGCTGACGCTCTAATCTCTGAGCCACACTGGCCAGGGCCTACCATGCCTTCTTGCTTATCTGTTCAAACCACCCCCTGCATGTAGGGACAAGCATAGCAGCCACTTGCATCTGTGTAGGGAGATACCTTAGGGATTTCTTTTTCTTCTAGAATTTCGTGACCTAAATAATGTTTGCCTGACTCTGAGAGAAGCTTTAAACAGTCTGCACATTAAAATACTTGATAGTCATCTTTTTAAAACTTCTTATCCTTTTATGAGCCCCAGTATTTTTTCCCGTTGCCTCTACAAGGGGATTGTGTAAATATTTATGTCTGCACCAAGGGTATTTTATTGAAAGAGACAGTAGTTTCTGTTCTAGAAGAAATGTGAAGAGACACAATTTAATTTTTCCCCCCAAACAGATAAAGGCAGCCACCTTATTCCTGGCCAGGGGAATCTCTCAGAAAACCACGGGGCTCTCTTTCCTTCCTCAAAGGAAGTGGTGTTCGTGTGTTTCTCTTCCAGGAGCCCTTGCCTCTTGTACAACTGGCTATTTCTTCTTATGCCCGGGCCTCATGAAGGTCCTGCCTATGTTTGCTGATTACATAGGTTAAGAGACACTATTCTGGGGAACTTTATTTGTCTGTTGCTATAAGAAGCAGCCTCTCCATATGGAAAAGTGATCAGTCTGAGACAGAGGTCAGCAAACTACAGCCCAAAGGCCAGATCCAGCCTGTTGTAAATTTTACTGGAACGCATCACACCATGTGTATATGGGTTTTCTGTGGCTGCTTTCACACTGCAACAGCAGATAAAATATGTTCTATCTGGCCCTTTACAAAAGAAATCCACTGACCCCAATCTAAGACTTTGAAAGGTGCCCAGAGAACCCAGCATTTGAAAATATGCTCAGTGCAGTCTGTCTGTGGGAGCAGCCTTGGCATTGGTTGGCGTATTAGTTTCCTAGAGCTGCCATAAATGACCACAAACCTGTTGGTTAAGAACAATAGGAATTTATTCTCTCACAATTCTGGAGGCTCAAAGTCCAAAGTCAAGGTGCCAGGCTCCCCCTGGAGGCTCTAAGGGAGAGTTCTTCCTGCCTCCTCCAGCTTCTCGTAGGCCAGGTGTGCCTTGGCTTGTGGCAGCATCACTGCCCCTGTCTTCACGTGGCCTTCGTCCCACTGTTTCTGTGTGTCCTCTCCTCTTATAAGGCCACAAGTCACTGGGCTTAGGGAGCCATCTGGATAATCCAGCATGACCCCCACCTTGAGATCCCTAATTAGATCTGCAAAGATGCTTTCTCCAAACAAGGCCTCGCTCATAGGTTCAGGCTGGGGGAGGGGGAGACGGATATTANACAAGGCCCCGCTCATAGGTTCAGGCTGGAGGGGGGGAGACGGATATTGGGACGCCTGCTGTATCTCCTTGGTGGCTACCATCCAAACCCCCGCTTGCTGACATGCCCCACGTGTGGCTGTTTTTGTTTTCCCAGATGCATAGCGGGCTGCTGCTTCATCCCTTTCTGTGTGGACGCCCTGCAGGACGTGGACCACTACTGTCCCAACTGCAAAGCTCTCCTGGGCACCTACAAGCGTTTGTAGGACTCGACCAGACCTGGAGGGAACCGTGTGTGGCAGGAAGTCCTTTCCGACTCTCACCCAGCTCCACCCCTGCTGGAAGTCCCACCTTGGTGGTCTCATCTCTCCAGCCGCTCCACTTTCGTGTCTTCTTTTGGGGGGAAAATATCGCAAAAGTAACACACTTCCCATCCCCGGAAACTGCTGCTTGGAGTTGTGCACAGAACATGCAAAGACATTCACCTTGAGTGCCGGGTCAAGGGCTTCCCTCCCGTCGGCCTCGACCTGAGTCATCCCATCCAGCTGTGGTCGTTGCCTGTCCGAATGTCTTCTGGTGATTTGCCTTGCCAGCTCCTCCTCTTGCCTCAGTGCGCCTTCCCCGTGGTGGCTCAAACTGAGAAGCCACAGGTGGCCTTATTTTTGAGACTGTTCTGGCCTGAACATGGTTAAGCCAGCCTTTAGTGCTACCATCACGGCCGTCTGCTGTCACGTCTGATGACAACCATCTCGCCTTCAGGCCTGGCTCTCAGACTCTGTAACTGCAGGCTTTTCACTAGCACAGAAATTCACTTTAATTTCTTACTTCACTTTTAAGTACACGGAGGGACTATCCACAGCCCCTAGAGCCACACCCTGAGGTCATAGTGCGCGCTAGACACATAAGAGCTGGGTCCCATCATCTGTCCGGCTTCCCTCAGTTCTCGGTGCCAGGTCCTCAGCCGCTTCCCATGAAGGGCTTTTTCTTGTGGAGAAACTATTTGTATTAACAGTTTTTTATGGTCTTTTGGTTTTAAACACCTCTGAACATCATTTTGAAAGAAGGGATTTATAGAACCATTTTCCATAACCATATAATTGGTATCATTTTCCCATTTGCCAGGGCACTCTTTTATATATTTGTTTTCCGTAATAGAAAAAGTAATGGATAATTGCATCCACTGCCTTTGCTTGGGTTTAGTGTGGTTCTTACAAGTGTCTGTAACGGGACTCTGAAAGTGGGGCCCCTTTTGGGTTCCCAGTGGTATGTTTGGAAAGAGAGAAAAGCATGTGTGAGCACGTCCGGGCACCATGGTGCTGAAAAGCTTGGGGACCTGAACTATTTCATAGGAATCTAAAGTCTGATTTTATTTTTTAGAAATATAATTTGTTATATAACATGGGAGACATGATTTCTAGGACTCAAGCAGCTAGCCATAGTTCTCGGTTGCTGCTGTGTCATCTTTGAAATCAAGACAAAGCTGGACTTGACTTCCCAGAGTCCCCATTTTCATAATAAATAGGTACAGGGAGTGCATGTGAATAATAATATGTAGACACCAAGCCTAGTCCTTGAATGAAAATCTGTATATTGGCTGAAATTTAGAGTTGTAACCATTGATTCAGCTTACTCTTTTGATGTTTTGAAAGTTTCAGTAATTATTTTTGCAACAAATATGGATACCACATCGTACTTTGGTGTTTATCTGCTTTTAAAAAATAAAGTCTCTGGTTCATTTGGCGAACTACTCATCAATTCTTACAGTGTGAAGAAAGGTCTCGTGTGTCCAGCCGTTGTTACAATGAACCTTTATTTGCTGCCTAACAGTAGAAAATCCTTCCTGATAAAAACTTCAGACTTACTGAATGTCCGTCGGTGTCGAGATGACGACGTGGAGTTGGGTGGATTGCTAGTGAGTCAGATTTGAACATTAGGCTATTGGAGCTCAGTAAGCGTCATCGATGGCAGCCGGCCACAGCTTTCAAGTTTTAATAAAATGCACAGAAGAAAGCCGGCCCCATTCATTGCCCGAACAAAACCTGCTTTGTTAATTGATCAGGGTGGTTGTGAGATGCTAAAAGGAGAGCATTGTGACTCACCAGGAATATGAATGTCATCCTCCCCTTTCCTACCTGGGGACAGAACTTTGGGAAGGTGCAGGAAAATAATGTCATGTTGGTGTGGCTTACGTTGTCATTTCAACCCAACCTTACGGTCCGTTTTATATTCGTTCTCAGGCTGTTACTAATTACATATGCAAAATTGTCAAAACATGAGCCGTGTTTCAGGGACCATAGGATATACTGTGGGCCTTTTAAAATAATGATGTCAGGTGCCTGGAGACCCCCTCTTGAACCTGGGCTCACCTGAGCATTTATTGGACATACCATTATATTGCTCAAAGGTCGGGCTTACTCATATATTTGTACCAATTAAAGGCTCTTTCATTCTGCCGCTGTTTGTTGGGGACTTTGGACTTAGTTTGTTGCAAACACTGAGTCACATTCAATTAATAAAAGTACTTTTTATATCTACTTAGACCTCAAAGAAGAATTTTACCAGTTTCCAACCCCCAAATGGCTGTATTTCTTTTATACTTTTAGTCCATCTAGATGAGGTAACCTTTTCTATAAGTGTTGGTTTGTGTCTTGTTAACAACTATTCAGTTATTGCATCTAACTAAGCCAATTTTCAGCACATGACTGATTGCTGGCTGGCCAAAGTGCTTCCCATGAAAATGATTTTTCTGGGACAACTGACTTCCCTAATGCCTATGGAGAACACTTCTAATAGGCACTAACTACTTATAAACATGGCTTCGTACATGCAGACACAATGTGGCCTTGGCTTTCTCCCCAGCGACAGCCTGTTGCGTTTGGGATGTTAAAATCCTTCTCTGACTTTCTGGGCTCAAAGACCTCCGTTAGGACTAAGTGTAGACCTTGGACTTTTACTTATGAAATTCTGATTTGCATTTTGAAGCCTATTAAAGTTATCCTGCATTTATGACTCAAATGTTTACAATGAGACATCTGTTTTTCATGGCGCACAAGTGAATTGAAAGTAGACCTAGTAAGGGCGATGAAAGAGAAAGGAGATTTTTAGTTCAAGAATTTTAAAGAAACATGATTCTGAGGCTCAAAAGATTAAAAAAAAAAAAAACTTCATGGCCAAGTATACAGTCTAGTGCATTTACTTAACTGTTTTGTGACTGTTCTCTGTGGTATTAGGGAAATGTTCATGCGTTTAAGTACCCCTTTTTCCCCTAAAAAGAAACTTTTAGAGCAGTTTTAGGTTTACAGTAAAATTGAGATGAAAGAACAGAGTTCCCATATACGCCACACATGCCCAGACTCCCCCGTTATCAACATCTCGTATTCGGTACAGCTGATGAATCTACACTGATAATCACCGTCACCCAGAGATATGCAGTGGGTTTGGACAAGTGTGTAATCACGTGTCCATCATTATAGTATCACACAGAGTAGTTTTGCTGCCTAAAAGCCTGTGCTCCACCTATTCACCCTCCCTCCCCAAGCCCCTGGCAGCCGCCGACCTGTTTACTGTCTCCACAGTTTTGCCTTTTCTAGAATAGTTGGAATCCTATGGTATGTAGCTTTTCGAACCTGGCTTCTTTCACTTAGTCATATACGTCTAAGTCTTCTCATGGCTTGATAACTCATTTCTTTTTAGTGCTGAGCAACATTCCATTGTCTGGGTAAACCACACATTTAAGTACTTTTAGAGCTCTTAGCACTGCAGTGTCTCGAGTGATCTTGGACCCAGTTTCCCAAATGGGCCAGATCAATTTAGGGGCTGTGCCCAATACCACGTGTCATCATAGTACACAGAGTTTTAAAACCTGTGGTTATATAGTTGCGTCTGTGAGGGGGTCACAGCGCAAAGGGGGTGCCAAGGGCAATATCTGGTAGCCTCTGGCCTGGCACATCCTACAGCTGTGTTTTTCATGTTTCTCATTGGTTGGCTCCGGCTGTATTTGAGGTGTTGTACGGCCTGGGTACCAGACGCAGCCCTACCTGGGAAGAGTGAGCAGTAGGCTCAGCACTGTCCTGCCAACACTTCCCGTTGCTTCTTTTTTAAAACAATCTAAAATTCGCCTAACATTAAAGCATGTAATTCAACGACATTTAGTACACTCGCAGTGTTGCCCAACCATCACCTATATCAGATTCCAAAACATTTTCATCAGCCCACCTTAAGCTCCACACCCAATTCCTCCTCCCCGAGCACCTGAGAGCCACCAGTTTGCCTCAGTTTCTTTGGATTTGCCTGTTACGGACATTTCATATAAATGGAATCATATAATACGTGACCTGTTGCGTGTGGCTTCTTTTCACTTAGCGTTATTTTTTCAAGGTTCATCATGTAGCAGTGTCACTGCTTTGATTTTTTTTGTTGTTGTTTAATATTTTTACTGATTTTTAGAGAGAGGGGAAGGGAGAGGGAGCGAGAAAAAGAAACATCAATTCAGAGTGGAACATCCATCCACCACTGGCTGCCTCCTGCACGCCCCCTACCAGGGATGGAGCCCGCAGCCGGGGCCTGTGACTAGAGCCAGGAATAGAACCCAGCAGCCTTTCGGTGCCCGGGACGCCGCCCAGCCAACCAAGCCACACCGGCCAGGGCTGTGCTTTGTTCCCTTCAGTGGCAGAATAATGTTCCCTTGTATGTTTACACCACATTTTGTGTATGCCTTTGTCCGTTGATGGATATTTGGGTCACGTCCACCTTTTGGCTATTGTAAGTGATGCCACTGTGACCACTCGTTTACAGGGTTTTGTGTGGACGTATGTTTTCATTCTCTTGGGTTTGGAATTGCTGAATCATATGGTAACTCAGTTTAACTTTTGAGGAACCGCCTGGTGGCTTCTTAAATGTTTCCTATTGTAAAGCCACATCCAGCAAGGCCTACCCATTTGGAACTGCCTGGTACAGAGAACTTGGTGTCTTCTACCACGAGAGCCGTTTGGAGCAGCCTGGTCTGGGGGCAACGAAGCTGGATTCAGAGCCAGACCTTGGGCTGGCCTGTCTGACTCCTCAACGCATCGGAACCCCAATCTGGCCTTCTGGGGCTCCCACTGTGTCTGAAAAATGAGGAGGAGTGGTTGCCACATCCCAGCCCTTCTGCGTGGACCCTCTTTTGAGGAGCTATGAGCTCAAAATAGAGCCCTCACGTCCGACTGTCAGTCCTGTTTACTTGTACGTCCAGCTTGGGATTCAGCAGCAAAGGGGATGCTGGACTTCCCTGTGGAATACCTGGTGGGGAGGAAGACATTAAATAAGAAAATCTAACATTACAAACTGGTGCAAACAGGGAGCAAAAGTATAGGATATGTTGGGGGGAGCACCTCAGCCTTTAAATTATCAAGTCATTCTGCCATTTTCCCCTGGTGAGGAGCAGCACTCAGGATTCAGAACAGCCGAGCTGAGGGCTGTAAGAGGCTGGCTGGTCTCTGTTCTGTGTCACCCTGTGATTTAATGTGCAGTTTCTCCCTCTCAGGGTGGAATCACCAGAGTCCTTCTGTTTCCTTTGGAAGAGTGACAGCCCTTGGAACTTAGCCTTTTTTTCTAGTTTGATTGAGGGAGGTCTTCTGATTTCCTGTTAATAAGCAGGAAGAGCCGGGCTGGCTTCCAGTAAGTAGGTGGATTCTTGGGGTGTGACTGCGTACCTGCCCCTGATCCGAGGAACTGTCCCATCTGCCTGGAGGGCCACCGGTTCTCCCAGGTGTCTGCCCCTGAGAGGGGGACATCCTCTTGAACCTGGGATCATCTGACCAGACCTGGCCACCCCCAGGAAGGACACTGTGGAAAAAGGGAAAGTGGGAGACGTTTGACAATCAGCTCTCAGTGGGGTGGTTTCTGTTGCTTTGTTCTCAGGAGTTCCTGGCCCAGAGCAGGAAGGGAGCACGTGGCAAGAACACAAACAGTCCCCAAGGAGAGTTTTCTAAGCCAGCATTTGCATTTCTTGTTTGTGTCTGAAATTAAAGTGGTAGGAAAAAAATGCTTAGCATAAGGCTGGTGGGGGGGTCGTGGGTTGGGGTCTCTTCTTACAGGTGCTCAAACCTGAAACTCTTGGCACAGCAGTGAGCTCCCAGCAGCTGGGGTGGGGCGGGGTGGGGGAGGGGTGTGTGCCTCGGGCCACAGGTCCTCCGTTAGCGCTCTACCTGCGGGCATCTTCCCTGGGGGCTTTTCTCTGTGATGTATTGGTTAAATGGCCCTGTTTTTCTAGCATACTCCTTGTTTTATCTTCACCTGGCCCTCTGTCTAGCAGTCTTAGGCCAGTGCGCTTTTGTAAAGGGCCTGGGGTCTGGGCCTGTGGGAGTGTGTCTGCAAGTGTGCATGTGTCGGTGGGTGTCTGGGAAGGTCCCAGGTGTGTGTGGTGTGTGTGGGGCTCTGTATGTCTTAGCTGCCATGAGTGTCTGGCTCTGCATGTGTGTGTGTGTATGTGTGTGTGTGTGTGTGTGTTTGCAGGGGGAAAGGAACCGACCGCTGCTTGGAGCTCCGCTCTCCTGGAAGCTGCCCCCTGCGCATTCCCTCCACAGCTTCCCAGCTGTGCGTCTGTCCTCCAGCTCTGGAGCCCTCCAAGGATTCCGAGACCAACTGTGGTAGGCAGTCAGATAAGACATGAGCAAAGCAAGGACGGTGGGCCAGTTACAGAAGGTCACCAGGGCTGAATGTGCCAGACACTGAGCAATGAAAAAGAACTGGTAGGGCAGATACTGGAAACATGCAAGACCTGCCCCTGAGACCCCTCTCCACCCTGGAATGGCAGGTATTGGACATAAGTATTGTTATTCAGGACCTCGCCCCTAAGACACGTCTCCACCCTAGAATGCCTCGGGTCGTGCAGGTCAGATTCTCCTGATCTTTTCTCCCCCAGTATGTGGTTAGTCACGTGGTAGCCCCCCATCCTAAGAGGGGAACAAGGGGGCTGGAGGAACCCCCATCTAACCTCTATACAAGGACAGAAGATGACCGGATGGGCCCTGATGGGTCAGTTTGAAGAAGAAAATAGGTAACCCCCCTCCGAGGGGTAAAAAGGAGCCCCAGCCCACTCCCCAGGGCAGCTCTTTAAGCTGCAGGCTTGAAATTTCTCTTCCAGTGTACTTTCTCCTTACTTTCTCAATAAACCTTCTCTAGCAAGTTGAAGTCTTGGCTCTGAAGTCTTTTCTTAGCCGGAACTCAAGTACGGAGGTTGCTGAAACCAGGTCTGGCCTGACTCCCGGTGAGACACCTGGCGCCGCTCTTGTTGCCTACAACGCAGACTCCCCTACAACACAACCACCCCAGCAGGGGACTAAAGGGCACAAATGAATGTTCCTCCCAACCTAGCCTACATTTAAGCTGCTTGGAATACCATTTGGGCCAGGACACGCTGGCCTCACCGTGTCAATCACTGCCTGTTAGGCTTCAGGCAGGTGATTTCAGCTGGGAAATTCCAGTTCTCCACAGCAGGACTGGGGCTGGCGATTGCTCTGCATGGGAGAACCCCTGGGGGAGCATTTGGGAACCTCTACGCTTAGCCACACCTCAGACCAACTGAATCAGAACCTCCCAGGGTGCCATCTGGCCTTGGGCCGACCTCTCCACTGGGCACAGCTGGCACAGTGCCCAGGGCCACAAGATACTTTTGAGGGGACAGGGAAATGCTTTGCTTTTATTTCGTTTTTCAATCAGAAGGGAAAACCCTGAGTAAAATAATAATGAATTTTTGATAATAAATTCAATCTGGAGTATATTCCTCTTTCTATCAACAAAGTTGTAAAACACTTTTGAAAGTATTTTTCTGGAGGGAGGGGCCCAGGGATGGCAGCAGGTGGCTGGCCTCCAGGTTGCAGACTCTGGAGTTTGGTTTTAGTTGCAAGGCTCTATCGATGTGGTAGGATCAATAATGCCTCTATTCACTCAATAAATGCTTTTTTGGGTGTGTAGCATGTTCTGGGGACATAGCAGCAGATAGAGACAGGCCCTTTGCTCTTGGGGAATTTAA